TCTTTGAAATAATGTGATTTCTTTGTCAGCATAGAATAGTAGATTTCAGGGGGGATTGGATATACAGGAGTACCTTTTCAACTTGGTTTTTCAAAAATTTTTTTCTTTAAAATTAAAAAAAAACTTTTCATGTTGAAATTATTTTAGACTTAAAAGAGTGGTAAATACTAATACCATACAAAGAATTTTCAACACCATATCTTCATCCAGACTCCTCAAATTTAACATCTTCCATAACTTCAAGTAGGTAATTAAAATCAGGAAACTTACATTTATAGAATACTGTTATCTGCAGAGTGTATTCAAAATTTGCCAGTTGTGCCATTCATATAATTTTTCTTGTTAAGTGTACGGTTAAGGTCATGTATTGTGTTAGTTTTTCTGTCTTCTAAGTCTCCTTCACTCTGTAATAGTTCTTCACCTTTGTCTTCCATTCGTTTCATGTCTTTTGTACCTTGATCCTTTGGAGAGTACTAGCCAGTTATTGCACAGAGTATTCCTCAGTTTGGATTTGATGTTTCTTAATGGTTAAATTTGGGTTATATATTTTTGAATACCACAAGTAATGTTGTGTCCTTCTCAAATGCATCATGTCAGGATATGCATGATGTCATTTTGTCCCATTACTTATGATAAAGTGCCTGCAGGTTTACCTCCTTAAACTTCTCTTGCCCCTTTGTGCTTAGAAGTATCTTACGGAGAATAATTTTGATAGTATATAAATAATATTTTTTCTAATCATATTTTGGACATTAGTTTTTAGCATCTTTTGATGATTCCTGCCTGAATTATTGTGGTGTTTGCCAAATGGTGATTTTTTTCATGATTTTTATATTTATTAGTTGATACTCTGTAAGGAAAAGCTAAGAATTTTATTCATTTTAAGTCAGTGCTCAAAATACCAGTTGTAGGGACTTCCCTGGTAATCTGCTGGTTAAGAATTTGCCTTCCAATGCAGGGGTTACCAGTTTGATACCTGCTCAGGGAACTGAAAAGATCCTACATGCTGCGAGACAGCTAGGCCCGTGTGCCACAACTAAGTCCGGACTCAGCCAAATAAGTAAATAAGTAAATACATATTTTAAAAAATACCAGTCATGTCCGACTCTTTGCGACTCCATGGGCTGTAGCCCGCCAGGCTTCTCTGTCCATGGAACTCTCCAGGGCAGGAATACTGGAGTGGGCTGCCGTTTCCTCCTCCAGCAGATCTTCCCGACCCAGGGTCAAACCTGCGTTTTTGTCTCCTCCACTTCCTGAATTGCAGGTGGATTCTTTACCACTGTGTGCCATTATCATCATTAGCCTTTAAATTTTTTTCATTTTTATTTAAAAAAAAATAGAAATCACACAGTAAGAATCACTGAGTTAAGAATTCTTAATCATTATGACATGAATACTGAAAACAGTCCTTTCATCAACTCAGTTTCTTCATATTGAAGTCAAGAGTTTAATTTGTCTCAATTAACTGCTACATGGTAAATGCACAATAAATGTCTCATTTTTACTGATAGAAAAAATATCTGTAATCATTGGCATGTTAGTATCTAGGTCAGGTTTAGTGGAAATCCAGTCCAGAATCCAGTCATATGCTGACTCAAGTGCTATTTATGTACCTTAAACATCGTACTTTCTATAGTCTGGATCTTATGTGCAGTGGTATTCATAGTTGTTCTTCAAGGGTAATTGGTCGGATTTTAAGTTCAGTCTGTCTTCCCTAGCTTTGTTAGTACATTTTTATTGATGTTTTTTGATTCTTTATTTGAGCTAAGCCAATGTTTCTCTAGAACATCTCGCTGCTGACTGAACAAAATTATTATTTTTTTGATCTCGGCATATTTTTATATTTATGTCCTCTTTTCTTGGGTTTAAGGCATTTCTTGTCTTATAACATGTCAGTTTAACACTTATGTGTTATATTTAATATTATAGATTAGAAGCAGTAGGATTGGTTCCTCCTGAAATTTAGCAGAAGTCTGTAAGCCTAGAAATCCTTTATATTTTTACCTAGATAATCTAAAGGAGGGCCTGTAAAGTCAGTGATATTGCTTAAGGAAATTTTTATGACATTTATTTTATCTAGTGCACATTTTTATTTCTGCATCTGTATATTATATTTTAATCCTTGCTAACATATATTGAAATACTTTTTTTGGTGAGATACTGTTCTAAGCCCTTTATATTTATTCTTTTAATTATTAAAACAATGCTGTGGCATAGGCACCATTATTATGCCCAAATGAGGCTTTGAGTTAAATAACTTGCCCTAGTTTTCATTGTTAGAGTCTAAGCTGTAATTTTAGTAGCATACTAAGTACTCTTATGGAAAAGGCAGTGGCACCCCACTCCAGTACTCTTGCCTGGAAAATCCCATGGACGGAGGAACCTGGTAGGCTGCAGTCCATGGGGTCGCAACGAGTCACACACGACTGAGAGACTTCACTTTCACTTTTCACTTGCACACAATGGAGAAGGAAATGGCAGCCCACTCCAGTGTTCTTACCTGGAGAATCCCAGGGATGGGGGAGCCTGGTGGGCTGCAGTCTATGGGGTCACACAGAGTCAGACACAACTGAAGCAATGCAGCAGCAGCAGCAGCAGCAAGTACTCTTAGGTACTAAGCTTGTGATAGATTCCTGTTACCTTTTGTGACCCAGGCATTATTGTTGTTGTTGTTCAGTCACCTAGTCGTGTCCGACTCTTTGCAACCCCATGGACTGCGGCATGCCAGGCCTCTCTGTCCCTCACCATCTTCCTAAATTTGCCCAAGTTCATATCCACTGCATCGGTGATGCCATCCAGCTGTCTCATCCTCTGACACCCTCTTCTCCTTCTGTCCTCAATCTTTCCCAGCATCAGGGACTTTTCCAATGAGTCAACAGTTTGCATCAGATGACCAAAATACTGGAGCTTCAGCTTCAGTATCAGTCCTTCCAATGAATAATCAGTGTTGATTTCCCTTAAGATTGACTGGTTTGATCTCCTTGCTGTCCATGGGACTCTGAGGAGTCTTCTCCAGAACCATAATTTGAAGGCATCATTTCTTTGGCGCTCTGTCTTCTTTACCATCCAGGTGTTACAGTTGTTTGTGATTACTGGGAAAACCATAACCTTGACTGTACTGACCTTTGTCTGCAGAGTAACGTCTGTGCTTTCAGGACACTGTCTAGGTTTGTCATAGCTTTCCTGCCAAGAAGCAGATATCTTCTGATTTCATGGCTGCAGTCAGCATCTGCTGTGATTTTAGAGCCCAAGAAATACAGACACAGGCGTATAAGTTTGTAATTAAAGAGAGAGGAGACGCAAGGAACTTCTGTTGTTAGAAGGGCACTGGTAAGGGAGACTCAGTTTATATGTGAATGTGGCATTTTTCTGAATATCTTTATGTTTATTTTTAGAAAGCTGTATAAGTATTAAAATGTGGGAAACCTAAAAAATTATTCTTAGTAACTTTGAATTTCTAAGGCCAAAGATTAATGAGTAGCTACTTAGAAGATAATAGTTACCTTGAAATTGACTTTAAACTTTTATCATTAAAAATGAAACACAAGAGGGTGCCATTTACCATGCCAGTTCTGGTTTTTTACTTTTTATCTTTCTCTTTGTGAAATACAGTGCAGCAAAAACTGTATTATTTTTTGACTGTTCTGACTAGACTCCCCAAAGCCCATTAATTTGGTTTTTTTTTTAATTTCTTAATTTCAATTTGTAGATTATTAGGTTTGAATTGACCTTGTCCATGTAACAGATTGTCAGTATGTATCTGCCTTGGGGCTTTTGCTTCTAATTATAAGTAATTCTTGCTAACTTGAAAGTTAAGGAAGAGTTCTTTGAAGCAGGTTTTTAAGTTTTCAACTAAGCATTTGTATGCCTTAAATCTTAAAAATTCTTTTCCTAAGTTAAGAGCATGTAGTTATAATGATATTTTGCTGCAAGGCACTTTTAAAAAAAGTATTTACATTTTTCATAGGTGGTATTACTCTGGTTTAAATATTGACAACCTTTTTTCTAAGTTAATAAGCAAATTCCAAAGTTTTGGCAACCACATAATTTCCTTGCTTTTATATCAGTGTTTGTTAGCAGAATTAGAATTTTCTATTTTTGTTTTAAGTTGTAATCATCATATATGTTAAACAACCAGATAAATAGTAGTGATTTTGGTTAGTAGATGTGTTTGGGACAGTGTTAGGTGCTTTATTAGGGGTCAGTCACATAGGCATGTGATACCTCTGTGACTGAACTTACTTAAGCTTCAGAACCTGAGAGAAAAAAGTATGTTCATCGTAAATCACATTGTCAGCATAAACTGTCTTGTCACGCTGGTGTGGTGTGGTCCAGGTTCTCAGGCATGCAGAAACACTCTTATCAGACAGAACTTTCCAAGGGCTGGGTTCCCAGGAACTAGTCAGAGACTAGTCTGTAAGCAGACCATTTTGGGGAATGGGTAGGGTTGAACAAGCCAGGCTTACTGGGTTAACCTTTTCCCATACAAGGTCATACAAGGAATTCTAGCCAGAGTTTGAGTCCAGGTCAGTGTGATTCTAAAAGCCTGTGCTCTTTCCATGAGTTTGAATTTTAGTGATCTTGTATCCTGCTTTGCTAATTAAAAAATCCTGGCTCTGTTAGATGTGGTTGAGACTTGGACCTTGCCTGTCCAGCTTGACAGATGCTTATGACAGGTTTTCTTTTTTCCTCATATGAAGAAAGGGACCCTGATTTGAGTATTTGTCAGTAGTTTTGTAAGTAATGGTGCTAACAATTTCTGGTTCTTAATAATTTTCAGTGAAGTTTATTTGGGTTATTACCATATTGAAAATTAGTTTAGAAGAGTAGTCTATAATTATTCCTTTTGTACTTAATACAGTTTTCAATTTAAAAAAGAGAAATGTGATAATGGATTTCGACATTTTAGTTCTCAATTACAAATTGTCTGCCTTGTAGGTGATAGATTTGAATGAACTTGTATAGTTCTTTAAGCTTTTAACCTTTTTTCTTTTCTTTAGGTATTTGTGGAAACATTAGACAAGTGTTTTGAAAACGTCTGTGAACTGGATCTAATTTTCCATGTAGACAAGGTACAGTTTCTGTGTTATCAAATTTTCTAAGCTTTTTATCTTAGAAAAATGTTAATTTGTATTTGTCAAAGTAAAAATAAATTTAGTGAATAATGCTATTTTTAATCCTTTATTCAGTTCATTAGTTGTGTTTACTATGAGCCAGGCACTATGTTCAGTGATGAAGTTTCAGACCCTGACCTAGAGGAATTCACACCTAGAGGATGAGATGGGAATGGAGGAAATTACATTTAAACTGGATTTTTTTTTCCCCCCCAGAAAAAAAGCTTAAAGGGTTCATAGATATTTCACAGACAGAAAAGGAAAGGATGACTCTACAGGCAGAGATATAAAATACATGTTTTTTGTGAGGGGAAGATTCGATATTGATCATGAAGCCTAATTTTAAAGTACCTTTACTCCCATGGATCTGGTCTAAAACAAGTATTTTTTCGGCATTGTTGTTGCTTTGTTTGTTCATTTTTGGGGGGGACAAAACAAAATAATTTTCCGCTTTAAGGATGGTGGGTTGGTAGGTGGGAGAGTAAAGACAAGGAGGTCGATTAGAAGTGTGCTGCAGCGGTCCAGGGAGAGATGAGCTAAGGCGGCAGAGTCGAGGCGAAAGAAGGCAAGATTGGTAGGACTTGGTCTATTGAAAGGAGGCGAGAGCAGGGAAGAAGGGCTGAATTCTTTAGTGTTGCTGGCTGTTCGGAGTAGGGGGTTTATGAGAGATTCCACTTCTACTGTACATGGATCTTTTTCTCTGTTAAGTTGATAAAACGTAACATTGTTTTGAATGGCTAAATCATTGAATAAAATTGTTGGGAATAATATGGAAATTTTAACATAAAAATTGTGATTTTTAAAAGTCAACTTCATTGAAATGTAATTCATATACATTAAAATTCAGCAGCTGTAAGCATACATTTTACTAAGTTCTGGCAAATGCATTTAGTTATGTACACTACCACAATCAAGACATAACAAAAAGAATGCCTTTTATTATTTGTGAACATCAGAATACTTTTACCATTAGCCAGTCCTTGAGGTCACATTTCTCATCTACTAAGTGATTTAATTTCATATTTTGACTCATTTTGCAGAAAGAACTTAACCTTGATATTTTTAAGAGAATTCATTTTAGTTTTCTATTGCTTTTTTCTATTATGCCATTTGCACTTACAAAGACTCCTGTTATTTTTAGGCCTTAGGGTTTACAATATTCTAAAGTATGTTTTGGTACGTGGTTAAAGTGTTTAAAATTCTGTTTTTAAAATGACTGCTCAAAGATCATTAGCTTATCTGTTACATGTAGCAATTTTTTGACAAAATTGAGAGTTCTATTGTAAAATATTGCAGTAAGAGTAAAGTTGTTGCATTTGTAATAGAAAAATTTTCCTTAATAGAAAAATTAAACTACATATATATACTTTCCATTCATGACACATGGTGTTTTTATAACTTCTATTTTACATTAATATACACTCATTTTAGAAAAATCAGAAAAAACAAATAAATAGAAGCCATCTCAATTTCAGAGATTGTCTAGTATTAAAAGATAAATTGAAGCACATTAAACATTTTAAGTTTATTTGCATAAAAATGGATTCAAATTGGTCAACACCAAACCAAAAGTGGCTATGAGCACTCCACTGATGCAAGCTAAATGAAAGACGTTTATAGAGAAGGAGCAGAAGCATCTGATGAAAGTGGAAAAGTGAAAGTTGCTTGAAAGTGAATGGCTATTGTGTGAAAGTGAAAGTCACTTAGTCGTGTCTGACTCTTGCGACCCCATGGACTATGTAGTCCATGGACTTCTCCAGGCCAGAATACTGTAGTGAGGAGCCTTTCCTTTCTCCAGTGGGTCTTTCCAACCCAGGGATTGAACCCAGGTCTCCCTCATTGCAGGCAGGTTCTTTACTAGCTGAGCTATCAGGGAAGCCCTGGCTGTTGCTTAAGCAGTTGCATTATTTGGGAAAGCCAAGTTGGCTGTGTATGTTGGTTGTTCTTAGGTTTTGATTTCTTAACCTTGAGGCATTTCAGGCTTAGGTTTTACTTTGCTCATGCAGACTGTTAATGTATTAGAACCACCCGGTCTAATCACCTCCTTGTTTAATTGACACTAGTGTTAGCATTTTAGAGTATGTGTATTTCTAGATTTTTTGGTACAATTAAGTACACAAGCAAGTATGTCTTTATAGAATCATATATATAGTGTGCATAACCTGTTCATCGGAGAAGGCAATGGCAACCTACTCCAGTACTCTTGCCTGGAAAATCCCATGGACAGAGGAGCCTGGTAGGCTGTAGTCCATGGGGTCGCGAAGAGTCAGACACGACTGCGCAGCTTCACTTTCACTTTTCACTTTCCTGCATTGGAGAAGGAAATGGCAACCCACTCCAGTGTTCTTGCTGGAGAATCCCAGGGACGGGGGAGCCTGGTGGGCTGCCGTCTCTGGGGTTGCACGGAGTCGGACTGAAGCGACTTAGCAGCAGCAGCAGCCTATTCATATCACACAACCATGTATCACTGTTTTTGAACCTGCCAAAACTAGCTGTGCCTCTTCTTTCTGGCCTCAAATCTTGTTTTAATTTTTGTTCAGTGCAATCAGGAAAAAATTTCAGTTTAACAGAAGTTACAGAGCCTCTTGATGAAAGTGAAAGAGGAGAGTGAAAAAGTTGGCTTAAAGCTAAATATTCAGACAACTAAGATCATGGCATCCGGTCCCATCACTTCATGGCAAATAGATGGGGAAACAGTGGAAACAGTGGCTGACTTTCTTTTTCTGGGCTCCAAAATCACTGCAGATGATGATTGCAGCAATGAAATTAAAAGACATTTACTCCTTGGAAGGAAAGTTATGACCAACCTAAACAGCATATTAAAAAGCAGAGACATTACTTTGCCAACAAAGGCCCGTCTAGTCAAGGCTGTGGTTTTTCCAGTGGTCATGGATGGATGTGATAGTTGGACTATAAAGAAAGCTGAGCGCAGAAGAATTGATGCTTTTGAACTGTGGTGTTGGAGAAGACTCTTGAGAGTCCCTTGGACTGCAAGGAGATCCAACCAGTCCATCCTGAAGGAGATCAGTCCTGGGTGTTCATTGGAAGGACTGATGCTGAAACTGAAACTCCAATACTTTGTCCACCTGATGTGAAGAGCCGACTCATTGGAAAAGACCCTGATGCTGGTAAAGATTGAGGGCAGGAGAGAAGGGGATGACAGAAGATAAGATGATTGGATGGCATCATTGACTCGATGGACATGGGTTTGGGTGGACTCCGGGGGTTGGTGATGGACAGGGAGGCCTGGCGTGCTGTAGTTCATGGGTTCGCAAAGAGTCAGACACGAATGAGGGACTGAACTGAACTGAACTGAACAGACCAGTCAAATAGACATTTCTTGTCCCTGTTAGTTGTTGTTGATGTTCAGCTGCTAAGTCATGTCCAACTCTTTGCAGCCCCATGAACTATAGCACTCCAGGCTCCTCTGTTCTCCACTGTCTCCCGAAGTTTGCCCAAACTCATGTCCATTGAATCAGTGATGCCATCCAATCATTTCATCCTCTGCTGCCCCCTTTTCCATTTGTTTACAGTCTTTCCCAGCATCAGGGTCTTTTTCTGTCCCTATACTCTCTATCTAAAACAATGCTGGTCTTGTTTTTAGCCCTTCTGTGAAAGTAGGCTTGTTTTCAGCTTCCAAGCAGCCCTGGACCTTCTAGCAGTAAGGGATCTCCTAAATAGCTTAGCCCATTTCTTCTTAGGGGCAAATACAGTTTTCTGCACAACCCTCTGAGTGCTGTTAGACCACACTTGGGTAGAGGAAAGAAGGAAGTTGTAAAGAATACCTGTTCTGTTATCAGTTAAGATGGATGCCGGGGTCCAGCCCCAGCAGGATCCAGGGGAACCCTCAGGATGAACGGCGTCAGCGAGAGAGAGACATGTAGGACCGGCATTGATAGGGCCAAGTCTGCTAGGGAGAGAGAGAGAATGAAAGAGACCAAACCAGGAATATGCAGCAGAGTCTGGCAGTTGCTTTATTTTTCACCATAGCCTTTATACCCTACATTGGTACATTTCTAAGGGGCAGATAAGCACACAGACTTAGTTTAACATGACATCAGCTTGTCCTTCACGAAACCAGGTGTGCTCTGTATATTTTTTGTTTATGAGAGTCTTTTCCCATAGATGTTTTGTATATTATCTTCTGGCCTTGAGCTTAGCAGAAAACAGAAAAGTGGCAGTTCTCATGATATAGCAGGTTGCAACAGAATAGAAATACAATCTTGTTAACATAAAAGTCAGCCTTTTTGGAGAAATTCTCAGCTAAATTTATCTAAAAAGTTTAACACACACAGACTCTGTGGCTCTGGTGAGGCAGCCCCTGTTTAGCACTTCTGGTTAAAATTAACAATTATCTTATTGTTTTTACACTAGGGCTAAACTCTTATTTTTCTAGATCTCCAACTATATTAACAATAGTTTCCACTGCACAACCTCAGCACATTAACATCAATCAAACGTTGATCTAATAACTACTTTTAAAACAATATGTTTTGTATTTTTTAATAGGGCTTCCTCACCCCCCAAAGGGCTCTGTGCCTATTAGGGCCTTTTTTATGGTTAATCTCTATGTATAATATCTTTTGGCTTTCAGGCCTGTTGACAGTTTACGGCTTGCACCTGGTGCAACTTTAAGCAACTTCAGTAGCCAACCCTGTCTTTTTTGTGGTTAATCTATTTTCTTTCTATTAGGTGTCATCTCCATGGGAACTAGATAGGATTA